TATATATTATATATGTGTGTGTGTACAAGTATGTATATTTATATATATTTATGTATTTATGTATATCGGTTGTTCGTTCAGTTCAAGTTCATAGTTTGATACATTCATATAGCACCGTGCAGTCAGAATATATCGCTAACTATAAATACAATCCTATCTTTCCTTATCCACCTCTTTGAAAACCACACTTCTAAAAGATTGTCTAAAACTTTAATTTCCGTAAAGCTGCGATTGTGAGTTTGTGGAGAACGCAGGAACAAATTGGTTAAAGTCAAGGTTCCATGTTGTCTTTGTTATTTCCAGTGATGCAATGTATATGGGAACTGAGATCATTCCTGTTCGTCTTATCACATACATCACATGTTTATTACTTCACCATAACCACGTGTGCTATCCACTACATATTGTCTTTTCGAAATCAAATGCCACTGTGAAGTCGTGACTCTGCCGCACCCACCTCTTCATCGTATTGTGAACTGATCAACTCGCTTTCAAATTGAAATGCTCACATCAAAGCGGTGTCGCCCGAACGCAGAATGTGAAGCCTCCCGCTGTGCAGAATTACATTGAGGTATATATCTGTTCGTCCTCGATGCACACTGTATATAGACACATATACATGATTTCTGCCGCACGAGTGTCCCAAGTTCGCGTTGCCAATTAATACTGATGCAGTGGCTTTATTAGCTTGACCCGCGACCGCGTTACAAGACAATAAAGTCTTATGAGTTACGTATTGTTCGACATTTCTCTCAGGAAGCGCTGCAGAAGCTGTACCAGGCGCCCATCAAAACATGGATCTCCTCACGCACAGACACGGGTGTGCACGGCCTGATGAACACCATGCATTGTGATACACCAGTTCGAAGAAATGGAGAGGTTAGTTCAAATTCACCACGCACGCAAGCCAGCCAAATACTTCCTTGTAAGATTTGCATCATATCTTGGTTGTTACTATGAACTTTGGTGGTGGGGAGCATACTGGTGCGCGATTCTGCTGATAAACTATGAGTATATCCGGCTATTTGCAACATGAGGTTACAAATACAAAGACTCGATATATATCTGATAGATTTCTATTCGAGTTCACGCAGTTCTACTTGTAAGAGTTTGAGACTAGTAATTACCAGTTTATCGAATTATTGCTTTATTTCATAATAAAACTGGATACAGCACGTGACACTGATTGTTGCAATGATCTTTATTTGCTCACGAATAGTTCCTGCAGCCGTACAAAGTCAGAGATGCACTCAACCACTTCATACCGATCACGGAAGTGCGGATACGAGGGTGTTTGGAGGTACACCCAACATTTAATTGTCGGTAAGTGGCGCGTAAACGCACACACGCACATATGATATTTACAAAATATTATTTATTTTGATATATGTATGGATTGTGTATCACATCGTGCCTTATCACGCCAAATCAAATATTCTTTGAGTCTCAATGTGCTTAGTGGTGATTTCGCAGTCTACCTTATGTTTTAATAAATGTTACATTCGCATATTTCGGTGCATTTCTCATAATAGTAGTTGCTTTCATTATTTGGCAAACCTCGCTCTATCTATGCGTACGACATATATAGCGCTCATGGCCAGTCCTTCCTCCCCTCACAATCTGATACAGCATCATTAGGTGATCACACGTAACTATTGGGTTTGCATTATCAAGTTCATAAGTGCCGGTCGAACATAGCCCTATCGACTGAAAAATAGCAGCACACATACTTATGGATATGTATTAAATAGACTCGGTCCTCCATGTCTCCAGATTTATGGCTACCGGACGAACATACACGTATAGGCTGATGCACAATAGCACCCACCGCAGTGCATTTGATGAGGGACGCGCAGCTGTGGCTGACGTTCCGAAAAACCTCTCGCTCAACATAGAAGCCATGAACGTATGTCTAGTGTTGTATATCATTGATTATAAGTGTGCGGGTCCTGTTCCGTATATTGTGCTGTGATGGCGCTCAGATAGAAACCATAAACGTATGTGATTAGTTGTTTACCATCACTTCTGATCATGTGATTCCCGCTCGCATGTCACACCCGTCCGTTCAGGGCTAGGTGTGCATATCCTGAGCGCTGTGCGGGACCTTCACGGTTGAACTCGCGCTTGCTTCCTAAAGCATCCTTTACAGGACTCGGGGTACGCATCCGAGCCACTGGTCACTGTATCCAGCGTAGGAACAATCATTACGTTGTACCTGGGCGATTCAATATAATTGGCTTCATGTCTATACTGTGTTTTGTCGTATCATGGGGTTGACTCAAAAAAGACTAAGGAAACCATATATACGAGTCTTTGGGTGATAAACTTTCTATTAGTATATTGTGCATAGCTGGCGCACAACATATCTGGTAGACCTGTGTGCGGCATCGATATAAACATAGACATCGATCGATGACTTCTAAATCTCATGGGTGATCACACATTTTATACGCGCAAGATTACGCATCCTTTGCTTCCATAGTATACATACTCGTATATCGACATGTGCCCATCAAGCATAAATCCAACAGCTCTACCATAACACAAACCCCTATTCACACTTCACGAATGCATCACCTCACAGGATGCGGCGCAAATATTAGTTGGAACGCATGACTTCTCGTCGTTCCGAGCGTCCGGCTGTCAGGCGAGCCAGCCTGTGCGCACAGTGTACAGTTTGTCTGTCACTCGTGAGCAGACCGAGTTTAGCAGCATAAGGTGAGCTGCTTGCCCATTCCCGTATGTATATTTGGTGGTATCCAAGTGTCTGAGTATCCGTATAGAATTTGTTTCTCAAATAATATTGAAATCCACAAATCACAGTTAACACTTGAAAAATCCGAAATCTGCAGCAAGTGATATGACAAGCGGTTGCATCCCGCGTTAAACCGGGCTGGTGTGTGCACAATCTGAAAATGGTAGTTAGGCCTCAGAAATAAGTGAGTAGCAATGCAGGGACAGATGTGTCTGTGTGGCTTTGATCTATGGACTGACATCTAGACCTTTTCCCATTCCTCTCGTGTGATGAAGCCTTGACCTTCAGTTTATTCTTTTATCTGTTTTCATTGGTAGTTGATATTGCCAAGCATATCGCGCAGAATATCCTATGTCATGGTCATCTCCGTCTCGTTCATGTCGTACCTATTGATTACAAAGTGCATTTGCAGTTCTGCAGTGGTCATGTAAACACAGGTTCACATTCAATCCCAAAAGGCAGATTTTGCATACCAGAGTAGCCACGTGGGTTAGGGCTCAGAATCTGATCCGAGCCCGATGAGTGCAGATTCAAGTTTGATGGGTTTTTTATTAATCTGATAAGGCAGATTCCAGTTTGATGGGTTGTTATATTAGAGTCTGATAAGAGTCTGAATATGTATAACCCCAAGAACCTGTTCGAACCTTTAGGGTAGCCAGAAGCATTTCTGGTTGCAGATCAGAAATAGCCTTTCGTAGCTCATGTCCGTACTACCGCTACCTGGCAGTGACGGAGAAATGGCACACATCACCATATACGCCAAGGGTTTCTTATACCGGCAGGTCCGGAATATTGTGGGTGCACTTGTGATGGTGGGGTCGGACCGATGGTCTGCTGCAGGTAACTACAATGCGAACATGCGTGTTCCAATCGTTGAGGCTATAGAGGCAGTGTATTATTGTGTACTGATGAGACTTGGACTATATCACTTGCTAGAGTAGTTCATGAATTTACATATGTATTGATGTCGGTGAGATAAGCCTCCTTTGCGGTTCGCTAAGTCTGCTATATGTGTGTCCGACACACATAATTGTTTGTGTAGCTGTTTTGTGGGTATTCACAATGTTACAGATGCGCCGATCTGTAAAAGTAGTTTCAAGCCTCTTGTGTGTTCAAGGCGTTGCTGGAACCCCATTACAATGAGTTACACACTGTGGCTATGTATGCAATGATATAGCTTTTTGTTTCGTGAATTTCTCCACAGATCTTCGGAAGGTTCTCGATGCAAAGGATCGTAGTCGCTACAAGTACGTGACGGCCAAACCTGAAGGTCTATATCTGACGCATGTGCACTATCCTTTCGGATGTACGGTCGAGGAAATGGTGAGCAGAAGAGATGAGATAAAGGAGTGGAGCTTCGATGATGTACCACCCTGGGAGAGGGATGCTGAACTTGATAGCGAAGATGACGAGACTTTAACGCCCCCGGGGTCTGCAGAAGCCAAGTAGGATTCTGATCGAAGCGTGTACCTAGTGCAGGCGCACTTCAAGTAGTTTCCCTAGTGGATTGCTTTGATAATCATATAGAATCGTGGCAGACATGGCCTTCTAGATTTAGATATACACAAAAGATGTGATTTTCATCAAGACATGAACGCCGACGCAAAAAAAAATCCCACGAGTATTCCACTGAGGCGAGATCAATGGTATGGTGGCTGCGGTTGGCTTTGTCAACAGACCTGTTTCATCCTGCTGTAACAGAGATTGACATAATTAGTTAATCGTAAAACTCTTATTTTCTCGTAGTCATAGAGCAAGTGTCCAGCCTTCACGGTGATTTTACAAGATTAGGTGAAGGGCTACGTACTTCCTGAATAAATCCACTCTTGGTTTGTGAAAGATAGAGGACTCTCCTGTAATCATATAGCAACGTTACGAAACTAGCAGTGAATTTTATTTTATTACCTTCTGATCAGAGATTCATTTCAATTGGAAGGTTTGACTCTACTAACCTTGTTGATTTTTCTATCCCGAGATCTCCGTCAAGCCAAATATGTGTTTATCGGTCAAGACGATTTTATAATAATAACAACCCTTGGGCCGAGAACACCAGTCGTGTGCATATTAATTTGGCTGTGCGCTAGTGCATGTTTTCACTATTCAGTATCTCAGCACTACTTCCCTGATTTCAAACAAGATAACCCTCTACTACACCTTGGCTTTCCTGGTGAGCGGTCTTGCAGATGTCCAATGTCGTGTTGGGAGAGCGCTAAAGCTTACATTGGATTATTCTGAATGCGTGCTACCGCAGTGTTCGTGAATACGGAACATTTGCAATTTCGCATTCTTAGGCGCTCCTTCTTATCCTTATCTATATCGTACTCCTACTCTGTGAACTCATTGATGATGGCCCGAATGGTACCTACCATGATGTTGTGGGCTGCCTCCGGGACCGATGGTGATTAATGTATTGTAGCGAGTCTTGGAAAACTACCATCTCGGTGATCTTGTTCACGACCATTCTTAGGCGCTCCTTCTTATCATTATCTATATCATACTCCTACTCTGTGAACTCACTGATGATGGCCCGAATGGTACCCATCATGATGTTGTGGCCGGTACCGATGGTGATTGGTTTATTGTAGTGAGTTTTAGTGAACTACCATCTCGGTGATCTTGTACTTCATCAACTTACGATCATTCTTGGGCACTCCTTCTTATCCCTATCTATATCGTACTCCTACTCTGTGAACTCCCTGATGATGGCCCGAATGGTACCCACCATGATGTTGTGGGCTGCCTCCGGTACCAATGGTGATTGGTGTATTGTAGTGAATGTTGGTGAACTACCATCTCGGTGATCTTGTACTTCATCAACTCACGATCATTCTTAGGCGTTCTTTCTTATCCTTATCTATATCGTACTCCTACTCTGTGAATTCACTGATGATGGCCCGAATAGTACCCATCATAATGTTGTGGGCTGCCTCATCCCTACGAGACAAATGGTGATTGGTGTATTGTAGTGCGTCTTGGTGAACTACCATCTCGGTGATCTTGTACTTCATCAACTCACGATATACAGTCATAATGGGCTCTATGTCTTCCTCCCGTTGTGGCGGCTTAGAGCGGTCATACTCATCAGCGCAGAATGTATGATGTACCGTATGTGAATTGAGGAACTTGACCCGTCTTTTATGCACTTTTCTTCTAAATATATCAGTATCGTCAATACCTTTATCGTCATACCCTTGAGGTTGGGGTTTGGGTGTCGATGATACGACGCTGCCAATCACAGGGCTGTGATTGTCCGTTACACCGCGCTCAGTGACCATAAGGTGTGTACGTTTTTTTAAAGCAGACTCTATCGATGTGTTTCTTCGAGCAAATGTGTTTCTTCGAGCAATATTTCTAAATTTAATTGGACAAGTCGGTCGACGGCCATATTCCGAGAGCTTTCGCCACGTAGAAGGAGGCTTCCGTTTTGTCTCCTGTGTACGTGTCGTTTGCAGTGGAGCTATAGTACTATCGTGAACGATTGATGTAAGTAAGAGAGGCCTTGCTCTTGCTACCCCAGACCTCGGTGAAATTGGTATTCCAGGTGTTTTAGATATCCCATCTCGGTGTTTGATCAAAGGACTTAAAATCGGAGATTCAACTGCCGGCACATCGGGATTGTAGAAGTGTGAAACGTCCACATTTGGGCATGACAGACGCCTGCCGGTCGAGCGGCGTGGTTTGAATTCGTCAATTGACGAGTTGCCCAAGACTTTCGATTGCGGTGGACTTCGATCGGACACGGGAGGCTCCGATATGTATTGCTCCATATGTGCCTGTATATCTGAATCATCTGCTATGAGAGAAGGACTTCGTTGTCGAGCTAAACTCGGAGTGGGCAAAGCCCTTGCCGTAGGACGTATTATTGATCTGGGTCGAACTATCGGCAACTTATTTTTTGTTGAAAGAGTACTAGTAGGTGCATGTAGACGCCCAACTTCAGGCGAAGATACACTTGGGCATGACATGCGCCGGGCTCTTGGACTAAATGCTGCAGGTAAGCCATCCTCTTCAGTTGCTAAGCTTGAGAATTGGTTAGTGGTTAGGGAAGTAAGTACTCTGCTCCGGCGGAAAGACGCTACTTGTTGTTGGCGTTGTTGTACTGGTACGTCCCTACTAAATTTTGACTGAGGTTGGTTTTTATCTAAATGTTCAGATGCGGGTAAACATGGTTCTGCAGGTAAATGTAAATCACGCACTTTAAGCGTGAGCAATGTTTGGTCGGGTACCTTGCGTACACTACTGTCCGTGATAGCACTTTCTAACGACCCCTCTACAAGTTCATCTCCGGAAACATCGTTGACAAGCTCTCCTTCCACTCTTGACCCTCCTTTCGAACCTTCTCGGCGAAATATTTTAATTATTTTCTTGATGCTCATTTTGCAATCATCTACTTTACGACCGCTACTAATTCTTTAAACTTGCCTTCGATACCCCGTTTTGCAATTGTTTTCCTCGATGCTTTATGGCTGAATCCTAAAAGATGAAGCATGAAAGCGCAAATATGCATGCTATTTGAGGGAAGGATGCGTTTCTACGAGTGTGCGTGGGGTAGGGTGGTTGTAGTGTGTCAGAAGAATTGGTTATTGTAATGTTGAAACATGTATAGTTTTGGTTTCCAAACAAGAAATATATAAATTGATTTTTCGTTTGTTCATGCTTTTGTTCTTGTTTGTCTCTTGGTTCTATTCAATATAGCGTTTGTATTTCAAATGAAAACTATAAAAACTGAAGAAAATAACGACAAAAGTATTTTATACCCCTCTAAAAATGAGTCGAGAGTAAATATTTGATGTGCACTGTGCAATAAACATGGCGCATATATGCCAAATTGCCAATATCACTGCGATGACAATCTCAGACTTTCTCAAATTCGTAGCCAGAAAGCACTCTCTCCCTTGTGTGTATATTCAGAAAACTACGATGCAATGATCGAAAAATTCGAAACAAACAAAATTATAAAAGAAGACTGAAGACTGAATTGAAACAGCCTTCTACTCTTTAGAAGTAAAAAGAGATAAATATTTTTGTAAACAAATAGATCAACGAAGTGACGAAGTCATGTATATACATATTTATGTATCATAGTGTGTGTATTTTTAAACCCCCAATAACATAACTACCATTTCCTTTTAAAGTTTTTGTTTTAAAATAACACTGACTTTTTTTAAATACTTTTGAAAAGAAACAAGAAGAAAAAAATGTTGTATATTTTAGAAGGCTATGATTTTGTTTCTGTTAATTGTTTTTAAAAACATTTATAAAATTTAAAGAAGAAAAATATGCTGACAAAGTACAAGCAATTTCAAACAACTGATAAAATATATAAAAAGGCGATAATGTATTTGATATATATAAACAAACAATTTTCTAAAATTCTTTTTTTTAGATCTTATGTAAAGTTTTTTATAAAATATAAACACAAAGCTATAGATAAAAAATATATATATAAAAAACAGTTGGGGAAAGGAAAAAGAAAAAATAGATATCTGAGCCCTGGGGCCTTGGGCTTAGGGAGTAGGGACTGGGAGGCTGGGACTGAAAGAATAAAAAAGCATTAGATTGCCATCGGGCAATGGAATTTGAGTCTCGATCATTGTAAAATCTGACCAGGTAAACGACATCGACGAGGTCGGAATATTTTGATTGTACACACTTACTAGAAAAACGAATAAACGACATGGTCGTTTATATACATAGATCCTTTTGTGGCGGTTGTCTGGCTTTACATATAACAACTCTACACTAGACTCTATTTACTAAATAAATACTACTAAAAGATCGTTTGCTGAAATGGTTATTTATATATTTGAACTTGTTATATAGTTATTTATATACACAACCTGCTCGGTAACCACATGACCCTCTACTAGTGAAGAATAATAGAAATATAACTAAAATATAGGGGATCGAACTAACGTCCGAAGGACTACATATAGCTAGCCGATATTGAAGGTGACCTGCTAAGTAAACATTGTTGGTAAGATATGTAGTCAGAGCGAAGACTCCATGTCAGCTGGGAACAATAAACGACCATAGATTACCGACCGACATGTTATTTTTAGCCATGCCGTTTCGGTTTTAGGGTATTTTATATCAAAAAGACCATGTCGTTTACTTACCTGCCACCTGGTCAGAGCAAAATACAGTATGTATCCACATTTGGCATTTTGTTACTCAGCGAGTTGTGACCTGTGACTTGTGACTCTTGTGAGTTGTGAGTCGATGTTTTACTCAAAGAGTCGAAAGTGTATTTATTTATCGATACATCCGAGATCGAAGGACTTTGGACTATGGACTTTGGAGAAAGGACTTTTGAGAATAGAGACTTTTCACTTTTGGACTTTGGTCTACTAGTACATATTTATTAGTACTGAACTACTGATTGTAGGCTTTAGGCCTCTTTTTTTTTTTTTATATTTCTCGAGCACGGACAACGAGCCACGAGGGAGCCGAGGCTCGAGACCTGTCACTGACTCACTGTGATGATAAATTGATACTGTGACTCTGAGTCTCTGACACTCTGTGTCCTTTTGTGATGCTCGGGGGGGGGAAAGACGTCACAAGAAAGTGAAGAGTAGACTCAACAAGAAGAGACTGAAGAGAGAGTGCCAAGTTGCCAACGAACTAAATAAATAATGTAACTACTATAAACATTTGCTTGTTTTTTAAAAACAAAAATAGAGTGTACAAGAGCTTCGAACTAAATATTTGCTCCCGAACAGTTTGTATCTTTGTTGGATGACAACTCCCATTATTCAGATGGATTGTAATCTTTTTCTCTACTTCTAGATAATATTTATTTTTGTATTCTTTGTATTCCTTCATATTTTTATTTTTATTTTTTCGAGTTTATAAGATCCTAACCCTAATTTCCTGTCCTGATCCCGATTTGATCGTAGCCGGCAATCTCAAGATTCCACAAATCCTTGGCCAAACCCGGAAAGCCCTGAGCCCAAAAATCCTAGTCCAAAAAGTACAAGTCAAAGCTTACGATTCAAGTAGTCTTGGCAATCCTCCTCTATCCTTTCTTAATCCTTTGTTTTGAAGTCTGAGGTCAGATAGAAGAGAAATAAAGACTCACCTAAATGTTACTGACATGCCTCAGAAATACGATTAAATTATAGGTATGACAGATCTTCTCAGTTTAGGTATAACTCTCACTGGTCTGCCTAATGGGCTAGACCCAAATAAAGATCAGTCAGATGATAACATGTTAAAGATACCTAAACCTTTGGAAGGTGAAGCAAAGGATATGATTCCGCACTTTACCGATATAATTATGAACTTAATTATACAAAACAGAAAGATTGCAATAACTGACGGGTGTATTTTTTAAGTTCTCTAACGGGTACGTTAAACTTGACTTGACAAACGTCGGCATCTCTAAGTTAAAGTGTGCTTCACATAACTACGTGAGTTGGAGACACAAAAACGTTGTCAAACCCCAAATTGAAGATTGGTTAAAAAAAAGTGTCTAATTGAAATCAAATATGATGCAACCCCAGTTAACTTAGCTCTTTTAGGGGTCGATCAATATAAATCTGATGGAACGTTTAGTAAGACAAGAGTAGTACTAGACCTGTCGCCAATCAACAAACTAATTCCGCAACATAGTTTTCCCCTGCCAAAGATAAGCGAGATACTACGCAAAATGGAAGGTGCGACTATCTTTTCCAAGATAGACTTAAAAGCTGCATTCCATCAATTTCAAATATATGAGCCGCATAGGAAATACTTCTTCTTTACTTGGCAAAGTAAGAAGTACCAGTTTAAAGGTGCACCTGAAGGCTTACACTTGTTACCTTCTTTCTTCCAACAAGTTATGATGGAACTATTTACGGACCTGTCGGATATATTTAGATGATATAGTTATCTTTACAAAGACAATACATGAACATACTAAACTCGTTAAGGAAGTCTTAAAGCGACTAAACCATGCCAAACTTAAGATTAACGAGGACGAGTGCTCTTTTGCTAAAGATACAATACACTTACTTGGTTACAAGGTATCTGCAGCAGGGGTAGAAATTGATCCTGACAAAAATTAATTTCTGTTGGTTTATCAACACCGATTACTGAAAGAGATGTGAACTCTGTGTGTGGGTTTGTCAACTTCTTCTCGGATTTGGTACCTCGTCTTTCTCATTACCTATATACAATTCTTTAGCCGAGTTATAATAAGAGTCAACGGAATTACCCTACCGTCAAACAAGAGCTCCTTGCTATTGACACTGCGCTAAGACAGTTTAAAGACTACCTTTAAGAAAGTTACTTCACTGTCGCCTGTGATCAAAAGTCTGTAACATATTTAAAGGACACGAACCCTGATTCACAGTTGGTGAGCCGCTGGCATGACATTATTGCTAAGTTCGCTTTTAACATTACACACATACCAGGAATATATAATCATCTTCCTGACATGCTCTCTCGACTTGTCCCTGACTACCAGAAAACAGTTAAAGAGTTATTAGCAACCGATTGAATGCTTAATAAGAAATGGTTTAACCTCGCTCAATCAAGATTGGGTTCATTTACTATTGATATGTTCGCCGCAGAACATAACAAACAGGTTTCTGATTATAGGTCGTTGACTCATCCTAAAGGTGATGCCTTTCAACTTGACTTATCAAAGCATAATGCGTGGGCTAACTCACCTTGGCAACTTATTGCACAGTTGTTAAATTATGTTAATATTACTAAATCTACCATGACGCTGTATTGTCCCTTACGTAGCTCCGACCCATGGATACGTGATTTAATTAATATGATACAAGACGAGCCTATCTATGTCGATCGTGAAACCGACACGTTCTTGTATCCGGGATCCTATTCTATTAAGAAGACGCCTTGGAAACACACCATTGTTTTTCGCATCGGTCTTGCAGGTACCACTAAGTGGAAACCCTCAACCGAGTTCTTAGAAACTAGAGGAGTCTAAGAAGTTTGAACAAAAGCTCAAGACTCGTACAACACATGCACCCAACAAGGGTGCAGTCGAGGTAATGCCACCTAAAAGGTGTGACAGAAGACCAACCGATGCGCCGAGTCATAGTCGATTTGGTTAAACTCCCGCGATCCAAGTACACTGGCGATGTATATAAAGTAATACCGAACAAACGCCCGCAAACAGTGGCAGAGTTATGCTATCACGTCTTTAATGACTTCGGTTTCCCCCGAGTACTATGTTCTGATAACGGTAGTGAGTTTTGTACCGACGTAATGGAGGCACTTATACTCGTATCAGGTATGACCCATAGGCGTGGTGTTCCTTATAAACCTCAAACGCAGGGTGCAAATGAGACACATCATAGAGAACTAAAGAAGCTATTGCGTACCGCATTGAATGACGTTGAGGATATGTGGCCTTATCATTAGA